GGCTATCCAAATATTTGTTCCTTGCTCCATCTGTCTCCCTAAGGCAGCACATTGCAAATGAGAGGGAGAAGGCCAAGTTCATATACCCAGGGTCACATTTTTTATTTAGTTATAACTATTGCTATCATACTGAAAATATATTAACACTAATCTGATAAAATTGTGACACATTAGAATGAATGCTGTTTTAACTGCACAATGTTGTAGAATTTATAAGATGCTTTACATGTGTCTGAATTAGAGACCTAATAACAACTACATAAAGTTGGCAGGACCATCGATTGAGTGCATGAACAGCTTAAATTCTTCATCTCTCCATGCACCAATGCCCCTGTGCCATGTGACTTTGTAGTTTTTCTCACTAATGAGGTTGAGTCTATTCCATAGCACTTTAATTCTGCAGTCATAGATATGACTTCCTTTGGCAATAACATCTTAATGGATGTGATAAATGCAGAATCTTCAGAAGGTGCTTACACATTTCCATTTTCTTTCTTACTCTGTCATGGCTATAACACAGGGAATCTAGCCTACTGTAACCAGAGTCAGCAAACTTTTTCTGTGAAAGACAAAATAGCACACCTTTTTGGTTTTGTGGGCCATGTGCTGGTCTCTACTGCAATTATTCAACTACTCCACTCTGCCATTGTGACACGGAAGTAAACCTATAAGGCATGAAAATGAATAATCACAATTGCATTCCAATAGAATGTTATTTATAAAAACAGCCCATGGTCTGGGTTTGGTTGATGAGCCACAGTTTCCTGACCCATGGACTTAGATTGAGACACATAGAGTTGAGTTGCCTCAGTAATACTAGTTGAGGTTATTTGGAGTTGACCAAGCTCCAGCCAATTCGAGCTATGTGAGACAGCCAGATCCGGCCAGCAGCACTGCCTGGTCAACCTGTAGCTTTCAGCAGACACATGCGCAAACCCAGCCACCACCAGGTCAACCTTGCAGACTCATCTGCAAAGCCACTGGGTTGTGGGTGATTGCTACACAGAATTATTGTGGCAAAAGATGCAGTAGGTAAATGCAGTAGGTAAAGTATTAATTTTGCTATTTTAAAATAAAGGATAGGGCTTAAGGAGGTTAAATACCTTCGTCATTCTCTCAGTCAGCGAGGAAGTATTAGTTAAAACTCCAAAGTCCAGTGTTCTACTATACAAAACTGTTTCAGCCCTTTATTTTTATCTTTATTTTCTGAGGATTTGTTTATATAGAGATATAGGTAGAGATAATTTAGGCTAATAGATGAAGAATTTCTGGCAGCTATATCTAACTTTCTACTGATTCCCCTCTTAGCTTTTAAAAATCATGTCATCCTGGCTTAAAGTTTGGATTATTTTCTTCAAATTGCTGACGCAGATCTGCTTGTGGTGTACCATAGTCTATATTGTCCTGGTTCATATTTTCCAAAACTCTAGTAAAAGGAAATAACTTAAATGGCCCACTCTTGCACACAGCTCCTCTCTCGGCATTTTACTGCTCCCATTTCACGCAGGGCTGTCAGGGTTTTCTGAATTAAATGTGACTTAGGGTCTGCGCTCACTGACTGAGGAGGCTCACAGGTCCTATAGCTCATCCACAATCTTGTACTTGAGCTGTCAAGTGTGAGAGATTGGTGCCAAATTCAACCCAACACAGCCCCTTCCCAGTAGTCTGCCTTCGACAACTCCTCCTTGTCAAATCCAACAGTTTACATAGGATATATAGTTAATAAAATACTCTGAAAGGTACGAATATAGAGGTGCTTCTTCAGCTGATAGCAGGGACACCTCTCAGCTTCCCACAAGGCTGACATTTCAGGCTGGCGTGAGAGAGATGATCATAGGATTTCTGTGTGCCATTTCTAAATGGATTGTAGAGACTCCCAAGGCAAATTGCCTCACTGCTCACCATCTGCCTCCAAAAAGAGTCAATGTGATGCAACCATGCAACTCAAAAAACTTTTTTTTTTGTATTTATAAAGAAGAATCCTCAGGTGGTTTGTTGAACCCATGCAGGATTCCGTAGGCTTGAGTCTCTCTCTGCATTAAAGTCTAATGTTTAGGACACCAGAAACTCTGTACCTTTCTCACTGCCTGGAGAAATACCTGGCTTTAGAATACACTGAATGTCCATGTCAGAAGGTAGCTGTTTGTACTGCTCAGGTGTTTCTTGAGGTTTCCCTAATAAGTAGGAACCAGAGGTTATATAATGATTCTTTGATAGTTAACGTCCCTGCTGAACATATCATAGATATGCCAAGTTACTAGCAGCCAGGTTAACAAGACCCAGGGGATAGACTCTTTGTGTTTTAATATGGTGAAAGGAAGAATGTCTCAATCAAAAGACAGATTATATAAAAAGGAAACAGAGAAACAGAAAAAGGATATAAAGTCAACATGTTGACTGTGTCTGTCTAAAGGTCACACAATGAAGGGGTTCGTGCCATTATGGTCTTGCCAGTCCCATTTGAAAGTTATTCTAAGTGTGGAGAGAATGCAGGGTGCAATAGACAATGGACTATAAGTATTTTAGTCCCATTCATGAGATCAGTTCTATCTTGAAACAGATGTGTCAGATTATCATAGTTATGCCATTTAACATTTGGCTTATCTAATTCTCTTTGATATATATCCATACTCACCCAGCATGTTTTTGGGGTTTTTTTTGTTGTTGTTGTTTGTTTTTTTGCCATGCAAGCCTACCTACATGTGCAAAGCACTGAATCATGAAGTAACTTTGGTTCCTTTGGCAGGGATCCCTCAGAGAAATTAACACAGCCTTTCTGATCACGATTTAGCTTCCAAGGCAGCTTGACCACAGGGGTAGAATGGATTCATCCTGGGATTTAGACCACCAGGCCATGGAATTTACAAGACTGAGTTTCAATGAATTCCTCACCATTCTTGTTTACATTCCAGTCTCATTTATATTTTGGTTCTTATGATCCTACCCCTCAGGGCCTAATTATACCTACCCCCTGAAAGAGTAAGCCTCTGAGCCTTCGAAAGAGAGGGACTCATAATTGTCATTGTTTAGATAACCTTTTTTTTAAACTATAGAGCCTCTTGATACACATGAAATTTTCATGTCCCACCAATGTTGTTCAAGACACCCATGCCAAACCAGTATTTCTTTTCTTTTATAGATTTTATTTATTTTTAGAGAGGGGAAGGGAGGGAGAGAGAGAAACATCAATGTGTGGTTGCCTCTCACAATGCCCCTAACTGGAGACCAGGCCTGCAGCCCAGGCATGTGCCCTGACTGGGAATAGAACCAGCAACCTTTTGTTTTTTTAGGGCATCACTCAGTCCACTGAGCCACACCAGCCAGAGTGAGCCAAATCATTATTTCATATAAATAGATGGCCTCACCTGCTAAGAAAATTCTACTTTATTTAATATGAGAAAATAATAATGTCCTAAATAAATTTTATATGTGTGTGTGTATGCATAGACCCTAGTTTTAGAGATTTTGAGATTTTGATAACACCTGCCCCACCCTCCAGCCCCATTTGAGCCACTGCGCCTTCTCCCGAAAACTCATCACTGCTTTAGATGATACCTCTATAAGAAGTACAGATAAATATCTTCTCATTTTTGAGGAAGGATCTTGACTTACTTATGATAGAATTGGCTTAAGATAGATGAGGACAGGGTAAGGTATTAGTAAATGGAGATGGCAAAACTTGAAAATGCAATGTGTTATCTAAGTAGTAAGTATCCATAATGATAGCGGGGGAACTGTGCGTGTGCAGTGTATGCCTGTGTAAATGACTGCGAATACATATACAAAAATAAATAAAACACAATCTTTTCTTTCAATGAGTTCTAATTAAGTGGCAAGAACATGAACATATCCAATGTACCTCATCAGTAACAGTTAATAGAAACCGTGCGATCCCTCCTCCCTGTCTGCCCCATCATAGGTTAAGGTCACTTGGTGCACAGGCTTCACTCTAAAGCCCAATGTAGCATGTGATCAGGTGGGAACTTCTCAGTGCGTGAGAGACTCAACCAGTAAACATCCTTTCCCCTCGTCCACCTTCTTCTATTAAATTCACTAATAAATCCCCCAACACGTACAGCTTCTCTTGTAAGTGCAAATACTGTTAGAAAACATTTAAAAACAGTCTTTATTACTCAAACATGGAAATTGAAATGGATGTGATCTCTACACTTTTTTATTTTTCCTTCTATGTGTCTGCACATATACATAGTTCTTACACCTCAGAATATAGTATTTATAAGCCTTTTTTATTCTGATAGTTGTCTAGTAATGGGTATTAAATACTAGTAGCTGAATTGATAACCACTATCATAACCACAATATACTTTGTTACTGCTGAGAAGTGTTACCAGGGAAGGAGAAATTTTAGGAGAACAATGAGAGAAGGCAATGGTTAAACTTATATCTCACGTGAAATGAGGAAACACTCAGGCATCTGAATCTTTGACTGATAACGTTACTCCAATAATTTACACATGTATAACAGTTTATTGTTTAGAAAGTATTTTCATATGCTTCACATACATAGATCATTTGACCTTCAAAAAATGTTTGAGGAAAACTATGATCAGACAAGAAAAATAGGTGGCTAAAATTTAGAATGGGGGAAAGGGAAGAAAGATATTAAGCAGGCATATTCAATCCTTGAATTTTGGACTTGTCTATTAATTAACCACAAAACTTCCCTGAAGCCAACACTCATGATATACAGAACTGCGTTTAACATTAGGAAAAGAAGTGACGAGATATTTGTTCAGAATTCTCCATATCAATTGTTCATAGGTTTTGCTTTTGGACTTAAGAATTACTTAAATTATGAAATCTAAAATATTACACAATAACTTCTCTCTTGTTTGATAAACCTAAATGAACAATTATGAGAGCCACTAAAAGTGCTACTTAAGAAACATGTATTTAAAATTAAGACTAATCAAGAGGTAGAAATGAAAACAAATAATTAATATAAGTTGGACAGCACGTACAAGAAAATATTATTTTAAAAGATCATACTTTATTATAAAGGTTTAAGTACACATAATTCCAATTAAGACTAAAAAATCTAAATTTGTGTGGATAAATTTGTGTGTTTATAGCATGTGAGTATACATTATGTATATATAAGTATACATTAAATTTGTATACTTATATAATTTTTATAAAGTTTTATATTTATATACTTATATTTTTATGTAGAAACCAAGTGAACAGGATTAGATACTAAACCCATTTAGGTGAACGTTTATAGGAGAGCAGGATTTGCAAATTCTCAATTTAACAACCCGCATGATTATACAGATAAAAATATACCTTTACAATTGATAATGCTGATTGATAATACCTTACTAAAGTGATCAAATTTACCACCACCAATAATGGAACAAACCAACATTATATGCCTATTGATGTGCTGTAATGTGAGAGACACAGCATCACCAAAAATGTGTAATCTGAGTCTAAAAATGAGTAAACAACAGAAATAATAAAGCCAGATTAAGCGTCACTCTGTAAAACACCCAGTTTACCCTCCTCAAAAGGTGGGAAGGTCATAAAAAGCAAAGAAGAAAAAGTTAAAGAACTCTTTTATTTTATTGAAAACTAAATAGAGATGATAACAAAATGCTTGTGTGGTTCTTGTTTAATTTCTGGATCAAAAATAGTGCCATTATAAAGGACATTATTAAGAAAATTGGGGAAATTTGAATATGAATCATATATATTAATTAATGTTATTTTAATATTAAATTTCTTGGGTGTGATAATGGTATAATGGTTATGTAGAGATTGTCTTGTCCAAAGGAAACACATGGTGAATCATTTCAGAATGAAGTATATTGATATCTGCAACTTACCCTCAGATTGTTCAGAAAAAAACATCGATACAACTAAAGCAAATATGGCAAAATGTTAAAAATTAGTAAATCTAAGTGAAAGACATATATAGGTTCATTGTATGACTTTCTCACTTTTCCACAGGTTTGAAACTTTTGAAAATACAAGTTGGGAAGTGTAAAATCAAACCAAATTATTCTTTAACTCCTTTATTTCATATACCTATTTCAGCAATATTGAAATACTAACTTCTCATATATGCACTCACTCTTTTTATAGATTTAAAATATGAAATGGTGACTGAATGTTACAGATTGCAATCAAAATTTACAACAAAGTATTTTAAGAATAAGACAAAAGATTTAAGTGTTACATTAAGCTTCTAGCACAAATATAGCACAAGAATAAAGGATATCAGTGATGTTAATATTCAGACGAGGCTTTCCCCATCTTAATTTCTCTGTTGCCTCCCACTTAAAAATCTTAAAAAGTATTCATTATAAATTGGAAGTACAGAATTCTTAGAAAATAATTGGATGAGTTGCATGATTCTCCTTATAGGAGCAATCTATTCTTCAGCAACCTGTAAGCCATTGAAAAAGTAACTCCATAACCAACAAAAAAAGCCAAACCACGATTTGGCTGAGGAAGGGGTAACAAATATGCAATTGTGTGGTAGATCCGTGCTCCAACGAAGAGTCTGAAGTGCAGGATAGCTGTTGAGAGGTCTGGGCCACTTAAGGAATACAGAAGACCAATGCCAAGAAATGGTACAATATTTTCAAGGTCATTCAGATGGGCTCTGTGGAAAAAGATGACTAGTAAAATACAAATTTTAAAATCAGCAGACATATATTCATTTTTCCCCTTCTTCTACAACTAAATATGTGTTCATGAATCCTAAAAACTCAAAGAATGATTCATTTTCTTTCTCTCATATTGCTTTGCTTCCTTACCTACCCAGTTTTTATTTGGACCGTCTCATTATTTGTGTTTCTTTTTATTTTTAGTGTATCTCAACATACACCAAAGAAAGCACTTTGAGCTTTTAAGAGTACTGAATCTGCATCTATGCAGTAAAACTCACTTTGTTTTTACAGATAGGAAATATTTTTTCTTCCAGGGTACATACAATAGCAATTCAAGATCCTTCTTATAAAAAGTCTTCCTCCCAAAGGAAGATAATCCTTTTGGTTATGATTTTTCTGAAGGCTCCTCCTTCACTTCTGTCAGTCTGCAGAATGGTTACTGAGACAATACTTGTTCATTCACCCAAATGACAAGTTGTCAAGAATTAATTTACCAATTTAATTTCAAGAACCTCACACTCTTGCCCTGGCTGATGTAGCTTAGTGGATTGAGCACTGGCCTTTGAACCAAAGGTCGCTGGTTTGATTCCCAGTCAAGGCACATGCCTGGGTTGCAGGCCAGGTCACCAGCGGAGGGTGCATGAGAAGCAACCACACATTGATGTTTCTCTCCCTCACTTTCTCCCTCCCTTCTCCTCTAAAAATAAATAAATAAATTTTTTTTTTAAAAGGAATCTCAAGCTCTTATCCAAATAACAGAATAATAACTAGCCTTTCAAATATGGGTAATATTTTAGCCAATGTATCCTCAAATTACAAAAGTAATTAGCTAAACTGAGGGGCAAAGTAGAAAGAACACACAAAAATGATAGACAACAAAAAGAAAGATATGTTTCCCGAGTTTTATCTTTATAACACAGCTAGAAGAAAGTAAAAAGCATGGTTTAGCCATAAGCTTTCCTCCAATTCATCGCACCTTGGGTTTCTCTGGTTAGGAATATAAATACAAGGGACCTCTGTTACTGACTTGATTTTTTTTAATTGATGAGAGAGAGAGAATTTGTTGTTCCACTTATTTATGCATTCATTGGTTTATCCTTGCGTGTGACCTGACTGGGATCGAACCTGCAACTTTGGCATAACAGGATGATGCTCTAACCAACTGAGCTACCTAGCCAGGGCTTGATATATTTTTTAAGTACTTATTTTTTTTAATCTGATATTCCTTCTTATGTCTCCAGACTTAAAAATTGCTTTAGAATCAATAATAGAGGTGGAACAATCAAGATGGTGGAGGAGTGAAGGTGGAAGTCTCACTGACCTCCTACCAGAACCAATCTGTAATTATAACTAAATCATGGAGAAATAGCCTGGAACAAACTGAACAATAGTGAGAGAAGAGCCTTATAACCTCGCACAGACAGAAGAATCAGCTTTAGCACAACCTAACTGGTAAGGAGTGCAGTAGAGACTCGAGAAGGTGGGCAGGGTGCACACAGGCGGTAGCACTGGAAGGATATTGAAACAGCTAGTTGGATCCCCCTGAGAAGAGCAGGGTCTAAACCATAAGTGGTGATCTCCAGCCTACAGCACCAGAGCCCAAATAGTACACAGGTAACAGTCAGCTGTGAAAAGCAGCAGGGTTGCTCTCTGCCAGAGACAGGCGGTGGCTGGAGAGGCAAAAAGCGGTTTAAAGGGCCAACGCATAAATTTTTATTTGCACTTACCCTGGGCTTTGGCAAAGGCGGGGGCAGAGTGGGCTAGGGACGCCAGAGGAGAGGCTGGGGAAGGAGGCTTTGTGGAGAGACCTGAGAGAGTAGCCGGCGGGATCTCGGTGCTGACTCATTCCCCATGCGGCAGCAGCCATCTTGCTCAGGCAGAGACCACTACCGAGTGGCAACACAGTAAGAGGACATAATAGCCCCACCACCAGGAGGGACTCGGCCCAGCTGAGTACAGAGTGGCAGCCACAGATAGTAGATCCCTGGCTAAAGCGGGTGAAGAGTGATCTGGAGATTCTTGAGGAGAGACTGCGGATGGAGGCTTCGGGGAGAGAATGGAGAGAGTAGCTGGTGGGATCCGGGTGCTGACTCATCCCCCATGCGGCAGCAGCCATCTGGCTCAGGCAGATCACGCCCCTGGGCGGCAGCAGTGTGACAGGACCCCATAACCCCACCCCCAGGAGGGACTCTGCCCCGCCCTGTGGTGTCTCTAAACCAGGCCTGCTGAGTGCAGAGTGACTAGATTAACAGCTGAAGGAGACAGCCACAGACAGTAGATTCCTGGAAGTTTCCAAACAGGCTGCCTAAGGTCAGACAGGGTCAGCATCTAACATCATCAGAGGGAGATCCAGAAAGAAAAACCAGTGGTCTCCTACCATAGAAGTTCACACCACAAAGTTAGGAAATCAAGACAGATCAATTTAAGAAGCAGAAGTGAAAAAGAAGAGTCTCACAAATAATGGGAAGACAAAGAAACACCCCTCAGTCAAAGGAAAAGGAGAAATCCCCAGAAAGAGAACTCAATGAAATAGAGGCAAGTAAACTATCAGATATTGAGGTTCAAAACAACAGTTCTAAGGAAGCTCATTGAGCTCAGTGAGCTCAGAGAGAATTACAAAAAACTACAGAGAAACTACAAGGAACTTACTGCAAATAGATCAGCATGAAAAAGGACATAGAAACTGTCAGTAAGAGACAAGAGGAAATGAAGAATACAATTTCTGAATTGAAGAGCACAGTAGAAGGAATCTAAAGCAGGATAGATGAAGCAGAGGATCGAATAAGTGAGCTGGAGAATAAGGTAGAAAAAGCTCCCAGAAAGAGCAAAAAAATGAAAAAAGACTCAAAAAGAATGAAGAAGCATTGAGGGTAATGCAGAGCAACCTGAAACGTAATAATATCTGTATAACCGGGATACCAGAAGGAAAAGAAGAGGAGGAAGGTATAAAGAACCTGTTTGAAAATGTAATGATGGAAAACTTCCTTAATTGGAAGAGAGAAAGAGTCACACGAGTCCAGGAAGCACAGAGGGTCCCATTCAAGAGGAACCCACTGAGGTTCCTACTCAAGGAACCTACCCAGTGAGGTTCCCACTGAGGCCTACTCCAAGACACATCATCATTAAAATGGCAAATAACAAAGACAAACAGAGAATCCTAAAGGAAGCAAGGGAGAAAGAGGTAGTAACACAGAAGGGAGCCCCAATACGGCTAGCAGCTGACTTCTCAACAGAAACACTACAAGCCAGAGGCAATGGCAAGAAATATTCCAGGTAATGAAAAGCAAAGGCCTGCAACCAAGACTGCTCCACCCAGCAAAGCTCTCAATTAAAATGGAAGGCAAAATAAGGAGTTTCCCAGACCAAAGAAGGCTAAAAGAATACACTTCCACCAAACGAGCATTGCAAAATATACTAACAGGACTGCTTTTAGAAAATGAAGAAAAAGAATCTATGAATACCCAGTTCCTTTCACAGTCACCAATACTTGATATTACCAATATTTTGAGTACTTGTTAATCTGATTGTGACAATGATGTGTTATTTTAATTGTTACTTTATTATTTGTTGAAACTAAACCTGTTTTTGTGTATTTCTGGCCTATTTCTATTGTTTTTAAAAAGCTTTAAATTACTTTTTGGTATTCTTTATCCATTTTTTGATTAAATCTTTGTAGAATATTTTTCCCTAAAAAAAAACAAAACTATTAACCCTTTTTAAGATGTGTTGGAAATACTTTCCTATTCTATTACTTGTCCTTTAACTTTTTTTATACGTATATTTCTATATAGTCTTAAATGTTTAATATGGTCATATTGTCAATATCTTACTTTATAGCTTTTGGGTTTGAATATGTTACTTCAGTGTAAGAAAAATATTTTGTATTTTCTTCTAAAACTCCTTAGATTTTACATATTGATTTTTAACTCACCTGAATATTTTTTGTATAATGTGTGAAATAAGGCTCTATATTTGTTTTATTTCAAGTAATAGTGGTCCATGCACTTTATTTGTTGAATAAGCCTTATTTTCCCCATTGATTTGAAATACCAATTTAATCATATATTACATTGTTAGACAGATGTATACATTTGTTTTTACAATGCTCATTTTATTTCATTCATCTACTTGATTATTTCTGCGCTGGTGTCATGTTGTTTTAATTGTCGAGACTTTACAATGGATTTAAATTTTTTAATATTCTATAATGGATCTTGAAAATAATTAAAAAATAAATAAAGGTTTAAAAAAGAATCTATAGTAGGAATTAAGATTTTACAGAATTTACCAGCTATTGATACATATTTCAAATGAAAAACATTTCTATTTTACGTTACTCTCTTTTCTTTCAGCAAAAATTAGAACAGTGACAAACTGTGTACTCAGTGATCACCACTATCTTCCCCTCCTTTTCTTTCTACTGTTTTCCATAGATTATCTCTAAGGTTGCCTGACAAAGATGATGACAACCTAAAGGTATGAAAGATATGACAGTAATAAGAGTTTTGAAGATTTAAATAAAGCACTACCTGTTCCTGAATAAAAGCAAAGACACAAAAATATGAGTGTTCTGGCCCTTTATTTCATGGAACAACCCAAGGGCTCCTGAGAATGAAGTGGGAAAGAAAGGACAGAAATACTGTTGTCTACTAAAGAAGGGCCTTCTTCACCAGGGCTATTTGTCTTGGTCCTCTGAATTCTGCTGGACCACAGATAAATCTTCACCTCCGGTTGTGGGCATGCTAGTTTTCCCCTTTGCAACATTCTAAAAGGACAAATATTTCAAATTTGGGGAAGAATTTTTAAAAGGAAGACCCTTTGAAAATCAATTCACTTCTAAATCTATTATTAAGTGATTGAAAAATAGAGTTCAGTGTTAAAACAGGGTAGAAAGCCAAGGACAAGAAGGGGTAATAAGCTTCAGTGGGAGTAGAGAGAAAGAAGGTCAGGCACAAGGCTTCCTTTGACCTTAATGGTCTCTTCATTTTTTCTT